AATTGTGCTGGTGGCGATCGATCCATGAAGGAAGAGAATAAAAGAATTCTGGGAAGAAAACTAATACAACCAAGGGGTTTTTCTTCTGAACAGGAAGAGTAGTAGAAGAGTAGGGGTTTTATTGAGAGTATTTGTTGATCTAGAATAGAATAGGAAGAGTACTTATGGTTAAAAGTTGGGATTCCCCCGAAAAAGGTGAACAATTATTTCTTTAGTTAATTAAGGAAGATGTATAATTACTTTAGGAGATTAGAAAAGGAAAAGCTAAGGATAAATCCCGTATAACTACCCCGCCAATTGTTTTGGAAATTTTGAATTATGTATATTTTCACATATATCTTTGTTAACAGTGTATTTTGAATTATGTTTGTTATTATGTATGGATTTATGCAGTCTTGCAGTATGAACTATGGACTTCTATTTCATAAACTTGTCAACGAAGTTTCCTTAGGAAATTAAATAAGAATTTGGACAATTGAGTTGAAAAAAGTATTAGGAAGTTAACAAAAATAATATTAGATAGTGACTATTGAATGTTATTTTTCTCAACGTTTGTTCATTGAGAGTTCTAGTTAGTTTTGAACTCGTGTGCTTCATAGTTAATAATATCAGTTAAAAATAATTATCAATTCTATAATATGTAACATTTTTAATTAGTGTTGTCTAAAACGTAGCAATAGCCAACACAATTTGCATCTATTAATAAGTGTTGTATATTATTAGGAATATGTAACAAATAATTTGGTGTTGCTAATTTTTGTTGTATAAGATATATATTCGACAACACATAACGAAAATGTTGCCTATGTCCACTTTATGTGACACTTTTAAAAAGTGTTGCAGGACGAGTGTTGCATAAAACCATTTTTCCCGTAGTGACTCTTATGATTATTGGGCTAAACCCAATACAAAAATTTCAATAATATACTACATGAGAGTTTCGAAAGGGCTTGACGCTGACGACCAGAACTAGGGAGATAGGAGCTTGCTGGAGGAAAGATGAAGAAGATGGAAAGAATGGGTGGGTTGAGTTGGTGTCTCACATATCTCTCTCGAACCCACGAAAGATGATGAAGAAAAATGGCTAAATTTGTTGTTGTTGACAAGTGTTAACGGAATTTTTAACACCGTCAAAGTTTCAAATAAAAATGGCTAAATTTGTCAAATATGCTTCAAAATTTGGCTATTTTTTTTAAAAAAAATTAGTATGGTTGTCACCAAGTACAAAATTATGGCTATGTATATGCATTTTGCCTTCTTATAATAACATATAATTGGGTGGATCGTGAGGTCGAATGATTTGAAATAAACTCAGGTGCACGACTTCAAAACACATTATATCTAAAGTTTATGTGACAGGAAATCGTATTTTAGTTTCCCTTCGTTAAAATGATGCCATGCATGGATAAAAAATTGTGGAGGGATCGAGATAAATGTGTTTTTTTTTACAATAGATGGAGATAGTGTAACATCCGAACCTTTTTCCAACGAAGATATTGTCTGTTTTGGGTTTCGACTCTCACGGTTTTTTATTTGGGGTGCAATTCAAGGTGACATCCTATAAGGTCTCCCATCCTTGTTGTACTCCACATTGATATTGTCTGTTTTGGGTTTCGACTCTCACGGTTTTTTATTTGGGGTGCAATTCAAGGTGACATCCCATAAGTTCTCCCATCCTTGTTGTACTCCACATTGAGCACGTTTAACTTCGGAGTTTTCACAAGAACTCCTCCATTTCATTTCACCCCAAAACGCGTTTTGTCAGTTAAGGTCGGTTTCTTACTTATGGACCATTGATCTCTCCCGTGCTTTGTCGATGTGGGATTAACCTAAGGTGTATATATTGCACCCCGAGATATTTTTGCTTTTTACGTACGTTGATGTCATGCATGCCGTCAGTTTTGTTTCTACCTTCTTACTGAGGAATGAACACTGAAAGGTTATTAGAGGTGCCACGTTCCCAACTACCAAGTAGCGTACGTGAAAGAATGAAAACAAAAGATGATAATGATGAAAATAGCAAAGAAGATGTTTTGGAAGTCATGTGCATGCATGTACTCTCCTCCCTTGCTCAAAGCTCATTTCAAGTATAATTGAGATTCCTGCATTTATATATATGGCCTTCATGTGAAGCATAAATCCATTCAAAGTTAGTTTCACCATGAACACATATAAGTTAATATTTATGAAATGCAAATTCTACATAAGAGGGTTGGGTAAGAGTGCACCCCAAATTTTCTGTATAATTTTTTTTATTTAGTCTTTTCATTTTTTGTCTTTTAAATCCATAATTTTTATTTCTGCCCATCAATAATCTGCCTTGCTATTGGCAAAGTTTTTATTTATTTATTTCGTCTTCTGCACCCATTTCGACAATTTTGGATAATTTGCCCTACGAATGGTCAATTCTATTGTACTTTTTCTCCCGAGTCTTTCTATTCATTCCGTAATGTTTTCTCCACTTTTTTTTCCTATTCCATTGTTTCTATACCATTTCTTTCTCTCAGATGATTTGCTCGGCTGCTGACCAAGTTTTTTTCTCGTCTTTTATTTATTTATTTATTTAGTTGTTTCTACACTTGTTTCTTCCTCTTCTAATGTTTTTCTGGTGACTGGCCCAACTAGGTTGAAGATGAATCTCTGGCAGATTAGCTAATAAGTTTAACGAGGAAGGGTAGAATCGAAACCGCCCCTATGCAGGCAGCTTAAGGAAGATGTAAAAATGTATGTACATCTGTTTGTTGTTGTACATTATACACGCTAATGAGTTAAATAACATAGAGGTACGGTGACAAGTGAATTGGATTAGATGGATATTTTCAATGGATTGGTTGGTGAATTGAATTGAAAATTGCCACCTCTGTACTCTGTACGTACACCAACAATGATTATTAACCATCATATACGTACACCAACAGTCATTATTAACCAAATTATATCATCTGGTACATCTAAAAGTCATAATTACATGATAAACAATGAAATTGGTATGGATATGGGATTTGATTAATTGAATCCAGAGCAGAGACACGTGAACCAAACCATTTGGGGAAAGGAGAGAGTGGACGCAATCATTGGGGGGCCGAGAAGGGAACCGGGCGAGCTGGCTGTCAAATCTCCATCACCACCAAATCAGATTTGCTTGCTTCCTTCCTTGCTTGCACTCTCCGGTCCTACCTCTCCTCTCCATAACCAGGACAAAATCAGAAAATGTCCTAATGACAAGAAAAAATTTCCACAATACTAAGGGGTCGTTTGGAAGTTGCGATTGTTAAATAGATGTATTGTTGAGAATGCATGTATAATATTATACATGTATTGTCGAATTTGATGCATTGTAGAATACAACGTTTGGTATGTGTGATTGTGTATGTCGCATTAGCTAAAAGCTGAGACAAAACAATCTCAACTCAACTATCTCAACAATCACAACGAAAAGTTGAGATATAACAATCACTCAAAATGAGTGATAGTTTCTGTCACATCACAGAAACAATCCATGTATTGTTTCTGCTAAGAAAACAAAAAAACGATGCATTGTAAACAATGCATGCATAATGACAATCTCAACAAAACTATCGCAACTTCCAAACAACCCCTAAATTTTCAAAAAAATTTCCAAACTACACATTAACACCTAAATAATTGCTTCTCTCTCCTTTTCTGTGTGGTGGCCAAAGCCCAAACCATCGCTCGCCATCGCCATCCTCTTCCCATACTCCCCTTGCAAAGGGCAACAATGATTGGTGTAAAGACCCGATCGAGATAAGGTTCCACCTATCACTTCATGGCTTACTTGGTTTCTTTGTTCATAAATTAGGATTTGATGTCTACTTACTGTTTGCATCTCATTAGTGACACCCAGCGGCGGATCCAGGATAAAGTACTGAGCCGCATTTTATTAGAAAATTAGATACTAGTTGATATTTTAATATAGTAAATTCATCAATAATGGAATCTACATCCACCCCAATAGCATACTACTCTCTTTCAAATAAAATAGTTAACCAATCGGCAACAAAAATAAATTCCTCATTTTGTTGGCAAATCATTTTTCACCTGTTCCATTGTTGAAAAGGTTCTTTGCATAGTAGTTGTTGAAACGAGCAATGTCAATACTAGACAAATCAATAGGCTAATCAATTTGTATTGTGTGTCCATCCCTATTACGGTATTTCCACCCGCTGCTCTAATTATTTTTCAAGGGACCAAACCTCATATTTCTTGTAGACTTTTACGTTTTAGACTTTTAGAATTTTAGATTTCATTGTCTGTTTTTCTTTAGAAGAGAATCATTGGAGCTACAATTTCTAGGCTAAATTTTAGAGTTTTGATTTGAATATATTCATTTGATCCATTTTCCTAATTACACACAATTTTATTATAAAATAAGACTGGACCGAATATCTAAAATCGAACTCATATGGACTATATTAGCTCTGGATCCAGAGGAAGGCTGGGCCGGGGCCCGGGGTGGCCACCCCTGGATCTGCCTCTGGTGACACCACAAAATGTATATACATACTTGAGTTCTATGATAACTCTATGCCAAATCACACAATAATATTTAATTATGCTGATCTCTACTCAATTCGCATCATACTAGTCATAGTCTAACATATTTACGTTTTTGCGCCTTCTTAGTCACCGAAACGCTTCTACATAGAATTGTGATTATATATTCTGACTGCATTGAGAGCACCTATGCGGAATCAATTCATATGGACCAAAATGAAAATTAGTTTATCAGGCAGAACGATCTAACTGATCTAATATTAATATGTAAAATGTCATATTTTTTAAATTATAATAAGGAAAGCGACTTCCTGAAAATTTACAAACCATTACTCATATTTGGTACTCGTCATACTAGTCATGTTTTACTCGATATTCATCATACTGTATACTACTCATACTCTAATATTCGTATGGTTTGAAGCAGGTTTCATGGCTTTTAAGTCCAATTCTTCATAATGAAAAAAAGTATATATTCATGAAAAGGAGAATGAGATTAGTTTAATTGCTTGTCCAACATAAACTTATCTTGTACGTACGCAAAAAGTAAATGGAAAACAAACTAAATAGTTGACTTGGCAAACCTAATCTTTAGACATAGAAAATCAGGGGGGAACCAACCATATAACTATAAGTACACACTAGTACCGTGATGGTAAATTGCCAAAACAACGAGTACCAGACTAAATGTCGTGATGGTCACCGAGGAGATGCCAAATATCCACATCGCTCCACAAACTCTGATAGTTGTCCTCCTGGAACGCCGTCAGATCAATGGCGCTCTTCTCACTGTGATCTGGCAAAATGGACGACATTAGTTGGGCAAGGGGAATCTGATCCGTTTCCAGGACACCACTTTCCGTCACCGGCCGACTACCGATTCCGTCGTCGAGGAAGCTTTCTAGCTGGTCCACCCACGTGATTCCGGCGCCGGCATGGTTCTCCTGATCATCATAGCGACTATGATCATCATCTCGACTCGGTGGCGATAACTCGTAATTGTTACTATTGGGCTTCTTGGGCTCCGTGGGCTTCTTGGGCCAGCAGAAGGTTTTGGGGGAGAAGGTCCGAGGTCGGGGCTTGATGATGTTGGTCTTCGTTATCTGGAGCCGTGGGATATTGTTGTTCTTATTATTCTTTTTGGCGACGGCTGATGGTTGCCGGCCGTTGCTAATACAACCTGTTTTGCATGGAAACGGTGTCGTTTTTTTCTTCTGGTGGGTGTTCCAGTAGTTCTTCACGTCGTTTGCCGTTCTTCCTGGCAAACGCCCCGCGATCAGCGACCATCTGCATTAACAGGACCCCACATATATGTTCAGAAATGAGCAATCTTATCGATGAGCTATAATTAATCGTCTAATGTAAATCTAACTTTTGCTTCAAATGTTCATCTAAGTTATTCGTTAAACGATCTGACATTAAAATTTAGAATGGTTGGTATTATTTATTGTCATTACACGCACTACTGACGGAGTTTAAGACTATGTGTGTGTCTTTATTTCAAAATATAAATGATTTAAGTGAGGATTTAATTCGTAGTGTAATAAATTAATTTTATGATAATAAAATAACAAGAAGTGAGGTTTAGTGCAACGACAAAATATTAAAGAAGCTGATGAAATCAATCCCTTCCATAAGCATACGTAGGGTAGGGATTTATTATGCTTTTACCAAAACATAAACGTGTCACCTTGAAAGAGCCAAAACCATCTAGCTCCGCTTATGTGAAAAATACATTATAGAATTAAGTAAGTAGTGTAGTCAGGAATGATTTTTAGAAGATAATTTAGATGATGAATATATAATTTTTAAATTTTTAAAATATGAACAAACTTCAAGTGGGTTATTGTCAAAAAGCAAGGTTGTCAAACCAGTTTATGCCAGTGTGCCGGTTTAGCAAGTGGAATGGTTCAACCAGTGGAACATACCGGTTTGTGCCGGTTCATGTCGGTCAATATTACAAATAAAATTATAAATATTCATATTTAAACATGACATTTAACCTCAATACCTAAACATTTATACTTGAATCCAACAAATAACATTAATATTTAACTTTTATACTCATAAAATAAATAATAAAATAATTTTTATCAATCAAACTTCAAGTGGGTTATTGTCAAAAAGTAATGACAGTCTTTGTATAATTTTGTTTTCTTTATCACTATATTTCTCAATAGAAGTATCAAATCAGTAGTTTGGACAAAAAACAAAGAGTAAATATTATCATTAGAGGAAATATAATTCAGAGTAGTTATTATTATTATTATTATTATTATTGTTGTTGTTGACGGCAGTATCATACATTATTGTTTTATCTTCTTCCGGTGAAGACAATATAGCCTGGTTCTGTCCGGGCGTCGGAATAGATCGATCCTTGAAGGGGGTCGGGATCTTGACTTGCCGCTAAAAAGGACAAAAACTATGAACCTTCTAGTTTCGGGTTTTTTCTTGATTTGAACAAAATGTTTGATTTGCTTTGATGATGGAACCCTTTTCAGCTTCTGTCAACTTCTTTTTCCTTTCATTTTTCGAAAATAAAAATAAAATACTTCTTGGTGTTTGTCTGTCTGCCGGATGTTACAGCTCCGAACTACAGGGGGCCGGTCGATGTTCCATCGGAAAATGACTCCAAAATATGTGCATCCAATGGGTGTAAGGCACGTGTCAGCTTACCCCATCTAAACGCAGTTATGATAACTTCTATTGCTTTCCTGTCTTGGCAATCCGACTATAATGCTCTTACTCCATCTATGAAAACATGCTCATTAAATCCTCGCCACTTTCTTTCTATGATCGTCAAGTGATCATAATATGATAATTTGCGTTTTTACAAATACGTCATCACAAATAGATCATTCACTATTTGATTAAAATTTGCGTGTATGATGGTAAGTAAGGGGTGAATGTCAAAATTCCTTGGTTATTTTCTTTCTTTTTGACTGAGGGGGTGAATTGGCAACGGTGATAATAGGTGCCACGTTCGTAAAACATGAAACAAAGAAACCAAAACTAATAATGAACAAAATGCCAAACCAGTCGGGTCGCTGTAATTTTACTTTTCAAGAGAAAATGAAACCTGGCCTCACTTAGGCATTTTTAACTTTAGAAATTCTTTTTTCAATTAAACTTTGGATTTTAGTGTGTTCAAAGATTTAATTCCCCCCCGAGTGAATGGTAGAATTAGATTGTTTGCCCAAGAGTTTTGGCAAGGGGATATTACATCCAACTTTTAAGATAAATTTAGCACCTTAATTTTTTTTATTTACGATGTTGTTATCTTTAATGATTAACTTAGTTTAAAAATAATTTTATTTGGTTCTGAATTTACTAAAGTTTTTACATTGCTTATTAAAGATTACAATCAGTTGAACTAAAACCTTTAGGGGTTAAATTACCCCCCCCCCCCCCCAAAAAAAACTTTTCGGGTTTATTCATAAAAGTAAAAAAAAAAAAAAAACTTGTAAGGGATTAGTAGAGTAATACTATTATGATGATAATATCCACTTCACTCTAAATTCTTATATTAGAGGCCCAGAAAAAAAAAACTAATTAGTCCAATCAAGAAACACTGATGACTATTGCTTAAAGCATGGGGTCGAACTTGATTTCAAAAGTTTTATGTTGATACACTTGCATAAATATGTTCATCTAGGAAAAATCTTTCTTTTCCACACCATGTCAATATTTTTATTATAAATCTCATGTTTATAATTTATGAATTCACCTATTTTTATGCTATTACACAGTGTGACAAAAAAAAAAAAGTGGTATATCTATGTGAGTTTGCATTAAAAAAAATATAGGATTAAGTAGTAAAAAAGGGAAACCAAAAACCAAAATCTAATAGAGAAATACGTCTAATTTTACAAGTCACAAAATAAGCAATGGTTTGATAACATTAGATGATTAAATGACAGAATCGGTGAGGTCACACAAAATATTTAAAAATTGATGGGATTGCATGAGAAAATAGGTTATATGTATACCAATAGAAGTAAAAATCACGTGATGCATCAATCTGGTGATGTGAAAAAAAAAAAATTATTTTGTACGTTCTCACAAACTATAAAATAATTTGTGTCATTTATTTCTCAAATGAGGAGTCGGAAATTCAGTACGTACCTGTTACCCAAGAGGTTGTGCAACCTGGTGATTAGGTCAACTTCATCGTCTGAGAACTCTCCTCTCTTAATATTTGGCTTCAGATAGTTGAGCCACCTCAGCCTGCAGCTTTTTCTGCATCGGTTTAATCCTGCAGCAGGAACCACATAATTACACTCATTAATTAATTACACTCGTTAATTAATACAACGAGTTCTAGTTTATTTTTCCTTTTGAAGCTGGTGCCGAAAATAATGGAACAGCAGCATACCCTTTTCAAAAAAACAAACCCTAATTCATCCATTAACAAAGACAAAAAAAAAAAAAATGTTATCTATATAGATATAGATACAGATATAGATATACCGGCACGAATGGGAACCTGATGCCATCGGCCTTCCCCGTAAGCCTCAATGCATCGACGCAGCAGCCTATCCTCGTCTTCAGTCCATGCGCCTTTCCTCAATCCTCCGCCGCCCACGCTTTCCAGTACTCCTTCCATCCCCCACCGGTCGAGCTCTAGTTTTTTTTCCCCAGAAAGATAAGCGAACAACAAACTGAATATTGCTGATCTTATTATGATGATGAAGAGCAAAGCGGCCGGCCAGCAGCTTGACTCTATATATACACACACCAACAACACATGCGGAATATAGGGAGATGTAAAATGTGGGATTGAAACAGGGACACGTGAGCCAATGACGGGATGCAATAATTGGGAAAGAAGAGAGAGAGAGAGAGAGAGAGAGAGAGAGAGGCCTGGCATGGCTGTCCATCTCCACCACCACGGAAGGTAAGCTTTTACTGGGAAATTGACTCTTCGTCACGGCGACCCCTAAAAAATACGGCCTTGTCAAAACGACGGAGCTATACGTACATGTATACCCTACGATACTGTGTATTATTGTACATGTCGTCGTCGGCCGTAATGTATGTGTTTCTGTCTTGCGAGGAATTATTTACCACCGTAGAAATAGTATATCCTATGGCTGCCTGTATTTTCTCTGTCGATCGGCTGCATGCCCCAGTTTTTCTTCTTTCCTCGATCTCTTGGAGTTTTCTTCCCTTGTAACTTGTCCTACTACTCCTTTAAGCATGGCCATCAATTGTGGTCAACTCCGACTCTTAACCCTAGTCAATATATATTTTGGAAAAGAAAAAAAAAACCAATAGAAAGCTTGAAGTAAAAAATCACCTATGGGCATTAAACCATGTATTAATTCCCATAGTTGGGCTCTAATGACTCCTTAATTACGTTATAGTTTACGATCAAGCATCTTATTTGTCAATGAATGTTCCTATTCAATCATTTGGAATGAATCATGGTTTGTGAAACCATATCGGAAGTCATGATATCGGATTTATTGGTGATATGGTATTTTGTGGTATGACCTTGATTCAATTATTTCATACCGGTAAAACACCATTTTTTGGGAAAAAGTCCAAAACTACCACTGTTTAAAAAAAAATTACAAAAATATCACCCATTCCCAACAATTTCCAAAAATACCACCCTTAGGAGATGGTCGGGACCCCATTCCTTGTCGGGGTCTACCTTAGGCGCAATCCATGGCAAATGCTCCCAAGCCCAAAATTGGACGATGAACATGGCCCCATCAATCTCCTTCACCGCTCTCGCACTAGCATTACAGAGGGATCGGTAAAGATGAGCTAGGCAAGCAGATGCCCAGCTCAGGTTTCCCATATCATCCCAACTCCCAAGTATGATCTTCAACCAGAATTGCTGATTGGGTTGTTGGATTTCTTGGGGAAGAAAACTCCTCCGATCATGCCGAGGATGTAGATACGTGCATAAATGTCTTTATCACGCTCCGAACTTTCCTCCGTGAGGGGAATGCCTCCGAACTCAGGGTTGTGCTTACGCCTAATCTCCGATGTCAACCACGTGATGGATACTTAGCCCTTGGACAATGGTGGATGACCATCCGCATCGTGATCTCCCTTTTCTGGCGGACACAACCCGGTGACCGTCCATATAAAATGCTGCCAACCACTCATATTTGCAACAACTTTCGGCGGTGGCGTAGAGTCCACACAAACAACATCACCATCGATGGGCAAATCGGTTAGGATTGCGATGTCCTTAAGTGTGATGGTGCACTCGTCTTCACGAAAATTGAAGCAGTGTGTCTCCTTTCGCCATCTTTCTACCAATGCAGTGATGAGCTGGCGGTCGATCTTGATTCCATTAAAATGCCTAATCGAATCCAATCTTGCCCATTTTAGAAAGGGGAAAATGACGTCGTTCCATTCAAGCACATTCGTCGTGCTCCTATAGCGGACTATATGGTATGCATCCTAGAGAAGAATTTAAATTTCACTACTATAAGTTGATGATTTATACATATATAAATATATTGTAAGATGTAATATTAATTAAGTCAAGGTTGTTTTATAGAAATATACATTATCTAATAAACATTAATTTTAACATAACTAAATAATATTATAAGATGTAATATTAATTAAATCAAGGTAGATTATCTAATAAACATAATTTTAACATAACTTAATAATATTATAAGATGCATTATTAATTAAATTAAGGTGCATTATCTAATAAACATAATTTTAACATAACTTAATAATATTATAAGATGCAATATTAATTAAATCAAGGTACATTATCTAATAAACATAATTTAACATAACTTAATTAATTTTAATTATTTTTGGTACATATACACATAAAATCAAATATATTATTTTGTTAATCGTATTGATTATTTTCAATAATTTAAAGCAATACAAGTACACTCGTAAGACTCTTAGAAGAGATATACATCTCCTTAGAAACACAGTCTTTTTGACAGAAAAGGGGGGATCCGAGGATCGCTTAGAACCCGATTTTCCCAGGTCATGGGGGGATCATGATGATCGCTTAAGTCCTCATTTCCTTAGACATGCATTTCTTTATAAAGAGTCTAAATAAGTGTTGCATTGTATTGATTTAAATTATTGAAAATAATCAATACGATTAACAATTAAGTAAATTATTATACAAACCGATAAATTACTTTAACAAAATACAAATGACAAGTGATGATAAATAATATGTACCTTGCGGTCGTTCCAAACGTCTCTTGAACGATGATTAGGTTGATCATATAACACAGTCGGATCAATCGGTCCTTGATCAACATAATATCGTTGATTGTAAATATCAACATCCGGCCCAACCTACGATAGCATAACAACAACATAAATCAATTAGTATATAAATTAAATAAATCATTATAACAACAACAACAATTGGGTAAAATGAGTACATATCGCTTGATAATCATCATAGAAAATGCTCTCTTCTTGGAAGAAATCGGCCATTTTTTCGGAATCCGGACAGAGATTCGACGATTTTTTAGTGAAAACCAAAGAAAAAGTTGTTTGAAGGCAGATCGGACTTAGCCGCAACCAACAAAATAACTAATTCTAAGGTTATTGGGTGAGGAGGGGGGTGGGTAGAGTGAGGAGTTAGAGAGAGAGAGGGGAAGGTGTGTTGGTGTGCAGAAAAAAAATGGGAAGGGGGGGGGGGGGGTTTATAGTGACGAAAACGCGTGAGGGAGGGGCGGTTTCGTCCTTTTAGCCCGCGTAAAAACGCCCCTCAAACGCGCGGTTACCGTTTCCCCATCAGTCAAACCGCTCCTCCGAGGCGCGATTAACGTTTCCCCAACAGTCAACCGCGCTTCGGAGGAGCGGTTTGGCTGATCGACGCGGACCGCCCCGCTGGCGCGCGATTTGGCCGTCGGATCGCTCCTCGATCCAGCGGTTGCATGTACCGCCACGTCGCAACGCGGTTTGACAGCCATGTTTAGTCAAACCGCGCCTTGGAGGCGCGTTTTCCTCTCTAACCGCGCCATGGAGGCGCGTTTTGTTTGGTAACCGCCACTTAGAGGGGCAGTTTTAATTAAAGGGTGGTATTTTTGGAAATTGTTGGTTATGTGTGGTATTTTTGTAAAATTTTTTTATAGTGGTAGTTTTGGATTTTTTCCCATTTTTTGAATAATAAAATATTTTTTTATTGAAAAAACCATACCAGTAAAATTAGGTTACCGTTCCGGAGTAATACCAGAATGAAAATTGAAATATATCAGTTTCTAAAATATTAGTGGATAATACAAATAAATATGGACCCCCACAATGAAACGAATAAAGGTAATTTATTCATATAAAAATGAAATAGACTTCTCTCTCCTTTTGAGACTTGGATGTCTCAAGAAGAAAGTAAAGTCTTTAAATATATATATATATATATATATATATATATATATATATATATATATATATATAGTGATTAAGTGACGAAAGACCTCTCTTTCCATTACTAGCTCGAGTCTGGGTAGTACCTAGGAACGATACCATAAAATACTCACCGGAGATTCCTTCAAGTAGCCATATTCCATTACTCAAAGACCTGATTCTCTTCAAGAATTGGACAATATGGATTTCCTTTTTCTAGCAACTTGTACGTGATTGACTCGCGGACTCGATGAGACCATTCACCCACGGAAAGAAAGTTTGTCTTAAGTTTGTGGTTTGATTTTAATCCCTTCTATACCAATATATCAATTTATACACTCTCAATAGCAAGCAATTGATTGGCGCTTCAGATTAATTGTTAACTTGTTATTGTTTCATTGTTTGAAAGCATGGGCCTCCGCAAGGTGTAACGTGTAAGGCGACTATCTCCATCCCTGCAATAGGTTAGCCATTTCATAAATGGACCCTACATTCACATCACCAACTTTAGCAATTATTCAATTCAATCATTTCAAACCACCTACATCCCTGCAATAGGTTAGCAATTGCAATTGATGAGACCTACTACATATTCTTTTCCTTAACAATACATTTACATAATAGATAATAGACTTTTGAAAATTCAATAAACACAAAATACATAGAATACACCAAATAGAAATAAAGAAAAATTACATAATGAAATACAAAAAATGCAAAACAAAATACAAAAATTCAAAATGAAAGAAAAAAAAATACTAGACTACTCCTCATCTTCATCTCCTCGAAATCGATTCCAAATCTCTTCAACTATACATCTTTGTATTAAGTTTTCATGTTTAATATAATTTATAATTTTAATTTATTAACAACTTAAACAAATCATAAGCACAAGAATTATTAAGTTTAACATTTTATGTGTACAAAGTGGATAGAAAAGAAAGAAAGAAAGAAGAAAGAATTTGAGTGCATAAATGTATGGGTCCCAAATACTTATATCATTATGTGGCATTGCAAAGGGGATTGCTTATTTAGCAATCTTGCTAAATAAGAAAGAAGTGCTACATCCTTGCAATTGCTTAAAGCTATTGCCACATAGGGTTCCACCCAATAAGCAATAGCAATAAGCAATTGGATGGAGATGCTTGAGCTTACAGCATCAGCGGAGTGGAGTGGGTTGCGCATTCGAGAGTAAATAATCAAAACCCTAACTTCCAGTACAGTATTGTAAACTAGGGAATAAAACACATTTCAATCATTTTGTGACATTTACCGGTATAAGTTTGTACGTTTAATATTTCAAAATTATATTCACATTGTATTTCAGAAATAATGCAAACAAAAATAAAAATAAAAATAAAAAACCCCAATGCATCTGCCGTAGATCAGGAATCAGGATCGTGTTCCTTTTTTTTTT